CAACTGTACAGTGAGCTATCAACGTTACCCTCCCCACGCCACACAGTTGACGAACCCATTACGTCACATACATTTCTGCTGCGCCCGTGTAGTTGAGTTTACAACGACTTTGCATGGTAACGCTGCGCGATCTGAGAGTGGGAGAAAAGCTTGCAGTTTTCGGTAAATTACAAAAACGGAAACTCTAAAAAAGTCATTTTGATTAAGCAGACATTAGATGCAAAGGTTTATATGACTATTCAATTTAAAGAAATATTTAAAATCACACGTAGTGAGTGACCTATCGCCCGTGAATTTTAGTGTTTTTTTTGCTCTTGTGAACTAGGAAATTCCGAAACCAGGAAAACGACTTGCGGTACAATGGGCTGGGCGGAGTGGGTAACAAAATTAGCTGTCGATCTCGGAATTCAAGTTTTATGTATGACTGCGGGACCAGGTTTTCATCGGCACTGTGGTTTTCCATGAAGTCTGTCCTTCAGTAAGAAATTTCACAGACATTTTATGCATGAATGTTTGTTCCTAATGTATTTACTTTTTTACGGGTACCCGGCCTGGAAAAATGGAACCGGGTTTTGAAATCGACGGGCGGATACCCGGGTACTTGGCACAGGCCTAAACAGCTTCCGCACAACCACAAAAGACAGTAGCCATGTTGCCTCGATCAGACGGACCATACCATTACGCTACAGGGGTCACCTTTATACAGTAAACCATGGTACATGTACAATCCAAATGCCGTGAGACGGCAAGATGGTGGCGAACAGCGGCGCTGCTCAGAGACAATATTTTTGCGTGAAAAAACTCCCTTGAATTGTAGTAAAATGTAAACTTTATTAAATAGAAATTATTTCTAAGTGTATACATTATAGTTCGGTACGTCTGTTTTCTGTTTTCAATGCTTTTTGTAAGTGTTGGCAATGTTTTGACGTTACTATCAGTGTGTTGACGCGTGTTGACGGTGTGTTGACTCTGATTAGTACGACCCGCTGTGGGACCTAGGATATGGGGGGGGGGAGTCCAGTAGACTGGCCACTAGTCTGGGGCTACAATCCTGGACAAGTCTCATTGGAACACAGCTTCCCCTCACCCCTGTCAGTGGTAGGCGAAGGAGAGTTCAGGACCAGCTTTACCCTCCTATACCTACCTGACCCCCCTCAACCGGGACTTCCCCTACCCTACAGACCTCTCCCCATCTCACCCGGGGCTCTTCTCAAGCCCAAGGATTTCTCCAAACCCTGGGGAAAAGATCGCCAGTTGACGAGATTTCACAAAACGGCTCAGATTTCCCTTCTCACCCGAAAATTCTGAAAAAATTTCCCAAGATTCCTCTGGAAGTAAAATGGATCTAACTTTTGCCACTAAATTTAAATAAGCTAAATTAGTCGCAGCTCACGCCGCATGGTTAACTCTAAACAGTTGTGAAATGAAATGTGATATAATCGAGCAAGCGAAGCTGGACGTACAGAGTCAAAGGCATCACATTTACTTGGTGAGAAAAAGAAAAGATGGAAATAAAGTTTATAAACCGAAGCAAATATTTATTTCCATTGATTTGGTTACTGATTTAAAAAAAAAATTAAATTTCAATAGAAAGAAACAGACATAAAAACAAAGATGACAAACCAAAAAACCAACGTCAGTTGTTTCTTTTGTAAAGACACGGTTCAGTCTGTTAATGTGGTAGATGCACTCGACTGTGTTCATTGTTTAAATTCTGATGGTTTATTCGAATTCATCGACTGCAACGAATGCCACAACTGTGACAAATGTCACAACTGTTGGAAATGTACCCAATGTTCAACTTGCTCCGAATGCGGCGAATGTTTAAATCGTGTATTTTGTTATGATTCTTATGACTGTGAAGATTCTAATGCCTTAGAAAGTTGTGAAGCTTGTTTTAATTGCAGCAATTGCATAGAATGTTTTGGCTGTTACGATTGTGCTTTTTGCGTTAAAATTGAATTAGATTGAATTAGAAGGAATGGATCATGTGGTGTTTGTCCATGGCTGTTACAAAAGAACCAGGCACAAACGAGCAGACGATTTACCACCTAATGCTGAATCTAAGCTGGATGCTGATTTATATGATATTTGGTTGATAATTGAATATGATGTTGACATAGTAAGATTCAAATAGAGTAGAGATTTAAAATGAAAATGTAATAGAAGCGGCCGATTAACCGTCACTTAAAAAAATGGGAAAAAAATTGTGAACTGAAATACAAAATCAGACGCATGTCAACTCAAATTTACATCATAACCGATGACCACGGGCGACTCAATGCCAACACCAGCGATCCCAATGTTGTTTACGGACCTTTTGATGCCAGAAGACTGATTATTTCAAACCCGTGATAAAAGAAGGTACCCACGTATCCCACTGCTATTCCCCCATTTATTATAATCACGACGGCAAAGAAAAACTTCTGCTGATTATGATGACAGACACGACTTGTTACGGCATAAATCCCCAGTATAAATACGGTATGCGGGATAAAACAGTCGATAACATCGTCAGTCGTCAAATCTGTTATCAACTACAAAAGCCCATGATGTGTATACTCGATGATATAAATTTGGCAGCTTACGAGTTTATCAAGGAGCAGGCTACTGTAAAGTCGAAAGTACCGTCGATTAGCGTTAACACTTACAAAGCCAGTCATGATTTAGACTACTTAGAAAAATCAGGCAAATACATGGTTAAACCTGGGTACATCAACAGGAACCGCATATACGTTAAAAAAGATTCTTACGCTCTGTTATTTACCACTGAAAGAGACCCATTACATCGTCCAATATTGAGAAATTTACAAATAAAAGATGCGATGCCCAATCGTTCATTTATCCCAAAGACGTATATTATGGAACTCATGGTTCGCTCTCTTGCAGTTCAAGCGTTAGGCATATGGTATCAACCGCCATGTTGAAAATTAGAAATGACGGCATTATTTAGCATAAATTAGCATTGTAAGCATTTAGAGGATTTGACGATTTAGAATCAGAATCAGAAATGCCCATGAAATTCAAGATGGATTAAACTTATGAATGAACTGATTAATTAACTTAAGAATTATTTTAAGCCTCGGTTGTCTGTCGACGTTGACGAATAACTGAGGTTAATTTTACGTCGCTTAAATAAATAAACGTTTTAAAAACAATGAATGATTATTTACCATCAGATGAACAAGATTTATTCGTTTTATTTGGTCAAAAATCAGCGTGTATAAAAACCCCAAAAGACAATTCAATTCGACATTTATTTTCACATTGACATCCTTGATAACAATTCATACAATAATTTATATATGTGTTTAAGCAGATTATTTACAAAAAGTTTATATTTAAGTGTACATTTACAATGTATATATCTAATGATGTCAACATGAAGGAAAAAGGTAAAGCCAAGCTTTTGTACCTTTCCGTGGGACAAGACAAAACAAGACAAAACAAAACTTAATCAACTACACAAGGACTGAAACTGTGTACAAAAGAATGGGAACAAGAAGAAGAAGAAACTAGAGCTCATCTGTCTGTTTGCCAACAGAACAGAGGGCTTTTTCTCATTCTTTTGTACATTTGAACAACTAAGGCATCATCACATCAAGTCATTTTTCATATATAACACCCCTCCTTTAAGTTATCAGTAAAGTTTCAACCTGATAGAACATGTACTTCAGGAGATATAGGGCTTTAAGCAGTGCACCTTTAATGTCACATGACTTGTCTTCTGATGACGTCATCATCAGATAAGGTCAATATTCCTCTAAAGCACTCCCTTTTCAAGATATCTGCAAGATTTGAACCCGATCGGACATCTTCTTCAGAAGATATATGGCTTTAAAGAGTGCACCTTCAATGTCATGTGACTTGTCTCTTGATGATGTTATCACCACATAAGGTCAATATTCCTCTAGAACATTCCCTTTTCAAGATATCTGCAAGATTAGAACCCCAATCAGACTGCTGCTTCAAGAGATAGATGGCTTTAAGGAGTGCAACTTTAATGTCAAGTGACTTGTCTCCTGATGATGTCGTCATCACATGAGGTCAGTTTTTCTCCTAAGCACTCTGTTTTCAAGATATCTGGAAGATTTGAACCTGATTGGACGTGTACTTCAGGATATACATGTATAGGGCTTTAAAGAGTTCACATCTAATGTCACATGATTTTTCTCCTGATGACGTCATCATCACATCAGGGCAATAATTCTCCAAAGCCCTCGCTTATGAAGATACATGTATCTCCAAGATTTAAACCCGATCAGACATCTTCTTCAGGAGATATAGGGCCTTAGAGAGTGTGCCTTTAATGTCATGTGATTTGTCTCCTGATGACGTCATCATCACACGAGATCAAAACTCCTCTAAAGCATTCTCTTTTCAAGATATCTGCAAAATTTGAACCCAATCGGACATGTACTTCAGGAGGTATAGGGCCTTAAAGAGTGTATTCTCCATTGACATGGATCTGCAAACTCCCCCTTATTTGCATAATCATAAATATGCATTGCCACTCTAAAAAAAAAATCTTTCATAATATCTAACATAACAATAATTGACTGCACATTTCAGATTTTCTGTGTACAAAATTTAAGAAAGAGAGTGCAGGACCGCTGTCGATGACATCTGTTGCACTCTCCTGCAAAAACTGAATTTCACTTTTTGTAACTGACTAGAAAGTTGACATACTCTATGATACACACTCCGAAACCATTCTTGCCTTTAATTGGCATACGCCATGTGAGATCTGTAAGTTAAGGGTCTGGTCTTGTCATTGACTTCATCACCCATCGTGTTTGGGGTTCATGACTTAATACGTCCCCATGCAGATCAGTGTCAGCCATATTTTTCAAGCAAACAAAGAGTGGAATCCATGCAAAATTAATAACATTTGACATTTCCATAATGTTGTTATGAAAAAAGTGATACGTCAGTATTGGACAAAATACGATGTCGACAGTGACTATTCTACTCGACCGAATTTAATGGAATATTCAAAATTTAATAATAAATCACTTGATGACGTCATCATGATGCAGCTATTTACGTATTATCTTCGATTTATGGGGAATACTTGGTGTAACTTTGATGTCAATCAAATATTGCCGAGTTACCAAAATAGTTCCTGGAAAACGTTTACAAAATCAAATATTAACAAATCAATAATAAATCACTTGATGACATCATCATGACATCATTGTTCTATGCACATCTTTGAACTAAGGTCCTTCAATGATATAAGTTTGATGAAGATCCAAAGTTGTAAAAGGACCAAAGTCGATGGCAGAAGACACGTGCACAAATCACATATGCTTTTGGTCAGAAGAAGAAGAAGAAAGAACAAAAAAAAGAACAGAAAGAATGCAAATTTGCAAAATTGCGAAAAAGCCCCCCCCAAAAAAAAACGAAAAAAAGAATGCCTTTTTTGCAAACTGCACAAAAGCCACAAACTTAAACTTTGACCAATTGAGATTGGGAACAGGTAAATAAATGCAGCTTGATGACAGCAAACTATCACTGCATTTCTTTCTTGTTTTTTTTGTTCTTTTTATTTCAGGATGGTGGAGAGTTGCCAGAATAGCAGTTCTTAATTGTGCTGATCCATACAACACAAAGATATGCAGTGAATATGTTGATGTTGGATTTCCATCATTAAGGGTAAGTGAAAGTTTCTGTAAGAGTGAATTTTCATCAATGTACTGAATTGATGACAGTGATTAAGTTCATTTTTTACCATACCATTGAAAAAAAAGAGAAAAAGTACTTGAGCACCACCTTCCCAATCTCCAACCTACCAAACTCAAGGACCTTATAACCTCCTGTTTACAGTTCCACCTCAAAAAAGTGGAATCTGGCAGAGGATGAGGTTGATGAAGATAATAAAATGAAGGCACCTTACATGTAGAAGAATGTGATTACGTTATGTACAAGAGGAGTGGTCACCATACATGTGCACACACCACTGATTGCAAGTTTCCATTAGATGACCATTAAAGTTTCGCGTTACCTTCTGGTTCCAAGGTTCCATGTACATGTAGCTCTATGTTCAAGGTTTAAACTGAAGTGATGGCACACTTAAAATCCGGACTGGGGTCAAACTGTGTAAGGGGAGGAACTAAGAGTAAGTGTATGACTTGATGTATTAACCCTAACACTCCTCCGTCCTCCAACAGGTGAGGGATTGAGGAGTGTTAGGGTTAATGCACCCGATTGTAAATCTGACGAAATTTACTGGTATAAGACTGCAATATGAAAAAGATAGATTTTCCAATTTCTACAGTACACAATTTCCTTTTATTTTTGAGGAAAGCAGATTTCAAAAACACCCTAGTCAAGAGCAAAAGTTAATAAAAGTGTGATGAAAGAGTTTCTGTATTGTTTGAGACCGGATCTGGGGATGATGGACTGAGTCGAAGGTGAGGTCCATTATTGAGCATCTTGCACCCCGCTGGTTTTTAAACAAACTTGTTTAAAACTGCATGTGTACTCAAGCATATATACTTACATTTCCATTCAGAATCATCTTCTCTTGAAAGGTCAAATTTAGTAAGGACCGTATCAAAAATACAGAGACTGTTTTTGGTGTATTGACATCTAAGTCAATTAAAAATCATAATATTAAAAAGTATTAAAACAGCCAAATATTTTTGTCCAATGTTTAGAACGGTACTTAAGGGTTTGACAAGACTGACCAGCTTTAAGCCTGAGTTATCGAGAGTTCCTGACGTGTCAACTTTCACAGCATCTTTTGAATATAATAATTAAACCAGATTGTGTCAATTGAGCTTTGTGAAACCGTCAACAGTAAGTTCCGTTTAAATGTCTTGGAAAATCTCTCTAACGGATTTAATTTGTTTTGTTGAAACGATTAAACGTTTAAACTTCCGGCCCCTACTGTCATGGAAAAGTTTTCATCCAGACATATCTAAAACAGCTTGCAGTCGGAGGCAATGATGTAGATGACAAATGCAAGCGGTCTGTTGTCTGCCTAATGTCATTTCCTGTTTTACTCGAAAATGCAGCTGTGCATCTCGTGTAGATGGGAGAAATCATGGAATGTAATAGTTGGTGATGGCACTTTAGTACCATACACTGGTCAAGTGCTTTGAGGAAAAAAAGGAAATTTTAAAAAAGTATTTATGGAAGAGCCGTTTTTATGGGATAAATTCACTGGCCTTTCATTATTGTTCAGACCAAGAGAAAAGTAAAAGTAGCAAGGGAATAAAATCAGGAGAGTATTCCAAATAAAGTCTCTGAGGAGCTTTCATCCAACCAAAGATGGACAGCTGACCAACTGACCGTCATGTATAACAATTGTTCCAGTAGACTTGGTTGCATTTTTTTGATTTACAGCCCGCCTCAGCATTTCTTTTCCCAACACCCAACCCACCAAAAATATAAATTCTTTCCCCCCTCGGCATTTCTCTAAGGTTTTAATTTTTTTCTGCACCACGTCTCTTTTTTATTCGGAGCAGCCAACCCGCAACTAATATTAATTATTCCTTCCTATCCTCAGCATTTATTTTCTATCCACACCTTGACCACTTGTGGTTTTTATTTTTTCCCGGCACAACTGCATTTTTTATTCAGAGCATCTATCCCAACCCATCAAAATAAATAAATTCTTTCCTCAGCTTTTTTTCTGTCCAAACCAAGACTTGGTCTTTATTTGTTTTTCCTGTACCTACTCTCATTTTTTCCCCTTATTCCAAGCACCAAACCCGTCAAAATGTAGTATTTCTTTCTTCCTCGACATTTTATTATCCAAACCTTGACCACGAGGGTTTTTATTAAGAATGTATAAAATGTGGGAAGTCGTTACATCAAAGAGACAGAATGAGCGTTTATAAGAGGGAAAAAAAAATCTTATCGGAACAAACACTGTTGACACTTATTCAGTCAAGGTTCAAGAACAGCTTGTATGCATGTTCTTTGCATCTTTGTTGTGACCCTGCCATTCTCGCAGGCACAGGAACAGCCAATTAACATAACAATACTCTCTGAATCACTCATGCAAGTGAACACAGGAACCCGTTCCGAGGTGCTCTTCGGAATGGGGTGAACGGGAGGGCGTGCAGAACGGAAGGGAACGCGTGCGAACAGTCTCTGTATTTTGGATCCTGTCCCCAAAGTAATATTTGTTAACAATTTCAAAAGATCATTAATTGTTACCTTTATTTGTTCGTAGAACACCTCTGTAGCTACATGTATTGTATGCCTGATGTGGGCTCAAAGCAAACATATTAATGATGCATGTGGGTCATTTCATCAGGTTGGGGAATAAAATGTGACAAAATAGTGAAATTTAGAAGTATTATCAAAAAGTTCATTCATCATAGTTTCAGATAAGAAAAATATAATACTTTTAAATGCAGAAACAATTAAATGTTGATTGTGTACACATAATTAGTCAGTGCACCATGTATTTCGAGGACTGTCACATAAAGTGAAAATGTACATGTATGTAACAGTGACGCCAAATTTAATACGTAACAGTACGCAGTTTTTCAGCTGACAAATTTTTGTGCACATATACATGTACAATGTATGGTGCAAAGTAATCCCTATCGGAGACCCCTTAATTGGAATTAATTTTGTTTGGATTGAAATAGACTCAAAACAAAATAAGATGAGAAAACTGTATTTGTTCAGTTACAATTTGAACAAAAGTGTTATTTTTATTTTTGAAACTTGTCCACAAACACTACAATCTCCAAGAATGCGACTGATAAGCTGTACGTATATTTAGTTTACAGACCATAGTCATCCATCTACATGTACTAAAGGATTTATAATCTCTAAGGAGTTAAATCTGGAAGAAAAAAAAGGTGTTGATAAACTATTGTGGACGTAACTGACACCGAGTGTATGTTACATGTAAATCCTCACCACAAAGCCAAGTGGTCAAAATGAATACAAACACAAGACTACAAAACTTGTTACTTTTTACCGATTTCATAATCGACTATTTCATTTAATTTTGAGTTGATGCGAACAATTTTTTCCCCTTAAAAAATTATTGTCATGGTGCAGAAAATGGGTTCTAACCAAATCTTTTGCTGATTGTTGAAATGCTATGTAATGTACATGTACTTCTTTTTAGTTAAATTCTTTTTCAAGCCCCCAATGCTTTTAATTTTTAATATTCAAGGATTCCCACACCTTAAAAAAACAACTACATGTATTATTGAACTACTATATCATTCCTAGTAAACGTCTATGGAGTGATGTCGTTTGCAATCCGTTTCAATCGTTTTTCGTATACAGTGGAAAAAGCAAGGCGATCAGCAACCTCACGTGGGCAGCATGGTATACAAATCAGCTGAACACGGATGAATGCCTTGGTTCATCCGTCCACGAAAGCTTGTGTTTTTCTTTTTTTGGCTCAAGATTTCTTGCGCAAAGCCTGTTTGTGAATATAAATTGAGTGTGGGCATGCCTATTTATAGATTGTCCAATCGCAGCTCATTCCAATGTCATCATATTTATGCAACTTGTGCATTACTAACACTTATTTTGCAGGCTCGTTGCCCTCTAAGGTCACCTGGAGACACCCTCCCTCTCACCATTGGCACCAACTCGATCACATCATAGTCAGACTGAGATAATTGAGAGATATCATCCACTGTCGCAGTATGTACTCTGCTGACTGCAATACAGATCACACCCTTGTTCGTTGTAAACTTTGCGGTTCCACCACGCACTGCCAAGACTTTTGTCTACGGTTGACACTACCAATACTCACGACCCCTCCCATGTCACCCAGTTTCAGCAGCTTCTCTCTGGGAAGTTTAGCTCTACATCCACGCCTATCGACCCTGAAGGGGCCTGGTCCAGGTTCTGCTCAGCGATGTTTGACAGTGCCATCTCTGGCTTTGGTCACCATTCACAGAATTAACCAGACTGGTTTCAGAACAGTGCCAACATACTATTACAGCACTGGAAGCCAAACGTCGAACTAGAAACAGACGTCGTACTCACAACACATGGGCATCAAAAGCCTCTCTTAGTCCTGCCAAGAGTAAATTCCAGCATCTCACACGAGCTGCTGTGCGACATCACTGGTCCTGCCTTACCAATCGCATTCAACACTGTGCTGACTCTGGTGACCTGCAGGCTTGGGCAAATCCACTTCGGAATTGGGAAGAATCGATTCCAAAATTGGAATCAAAGTCGTGATTCCACTTTTTCGAGTAATCGATTCCCTGAATTGATCAATTCCATTCCTTTGAGATTCGATTCCCGAAAGTGTCATATGATTCCGAACGCCCGCCGACTAAATTTCGGAGCAAGTCTTCAAAGAAATGCTCAAAGTAAACTGTAGGCAACGTCGGCTCGGGTACCATGTAATATTGGCTTTTTTTGTCTGCTAAGCCACAAATGGTGCCACATCGTATTTTCCCCACGGCCTAACCACTTGCACAGCGGGAGACTTGATGTGTGAAGTGTGTTAAGTGGCCCCAATTGTAATGCATTGACATTGTTCTATGTGTAGCCTCCAGTGTTGGTTTGTATTCACGCATCCATTCCATAGTATGTTGCTTTTGGTATGACATCTACCGGTATGACATTGCGGTGACATAGTAATTGTTCAGCCTTCTCATTTTTAATGGAAATCTGTAATAAAACATGAACAAGATCGGTGTGTTTGTGTCTTT